GTGAGAAGGCTTCTAAGAGGAAGAATTTTTTGGAAGAGCTGGAAAAGAAAGGATTTATTATCAAGGTGAGATGGAAAGGTCCCTCAGGGTGATGCACAGGATTACTGTTGCAGCCCAGTAACTAAGCCACTGAGACAAAGAGTGTGTCAGAAGCTTAATCATACAACACAATAAACTCTGATGCATATCACACCAGAGTTTATTGCTTCTAGGTGACATATTTACAAGTGTGCCGAGGACCATAGCCCATTGAGTTGGATTGGAGCAGCCATGGTTGGCAGGAGGTCCTGGGGGTCAGTCTGCCAGCCTGGGGCTGCTCCAACCCAGGTCAATGTGCTGTGGAAAGGCTGGCTGGGGCATGAGGGTGCTTCAGTCCAGAGCTAATCAGCAGGCAACCCCCGCGCTGAAGTACCCTTGTACCCCAGCCAGCCCCGTCAGTGTCTACATGTGAGTTGCTGCACAGTAACTAATGCCACCGCAGGATAGTACTTGTATTTACAAATACTAACCTTTGGTGGCATTTATTAGTTTACTGTGGCCTAATAGAGCTGCATGTGTAGATGCAGAGACTTTACTGCGGAGCTAATTAGGCAGCTTCCCATAAACTTCTTGTGTAGATGCACCCACTGTGTAGAACATGGTGCTTCACTGACACAAAATAAGACCTTATCTCTAAGGGCTTAGGGCACAGGAGAGAAGAGATGCAGAGTCTTAGCTCATGAGAGGGATGATTCAAGGTATTATAAGTGAGCAGTGGAGGCAGAAGGATGTCCTGGAAGGAGAGGGTTCTAAAGACAGGGCCTTGACAGTGCAGAGAGTGAACCCTTTGTCAGATGAGAATGAAAGACTTCCTACCCTAGAGAAGTGAGGTATGGTAGAAGGTGAGAAACAGAGCAGAAGTGGAGTGAAAAGGAGAGAAGCTAACTGTGGAAAAGATGGGGACAGGACTTTCCACTCCATTCTCTTGATGTTGCTATTCTGGTTTCACAAGAGTTTGCTTAGCATCTCAATATGCTGTAGAACCCCACCTCCTGTCTATGTCACAGCTCTTTGCCCATCTCATTTCAACCAGGGTCAATATTTCTCAGCACTTTCTCTATCTACCACTTTCTAACCTCCTTCCCTGTTTCTGCACTCAGAAAATTCAAGGCAAGAAGTTATTTTATGGTGTCCGGGCTCCTAGTAAAATCTTCCGAAAATACCAGTGGCTTCTGAGAAACCCAGACAGAGGGTCACAGAATTCCAGTACAAAGGAGGATGTGCTCATCACCACCAGGTGAGCACTACCTTGATGCCAGTCCTGCTGTTAGGCCAGGGTTTGCTACTTCAGACCAATGCCTTGGACAACTCATATGTTTCAGTGCAAGAAAGTCCTGTTTACAAAGACAAAGCTGCAAGTGCTGTTCAGATGAAGAATGATTTTACTGAGCTTTACAGACCCAGTAAAAACCCCACTCCACCTCTTTATCTAAGATGCAAAGATAATATTTGCTGACTTCATGGGGAGGTCAGGATGTTGGGATGGTTACAGATTGCAAGGAGAGAAAACCTAAAACACTGTAAAGATTCATTGGCAGATTGTTTCAGTACACCCACAACTGTGGGTTGATGCTGGGTTGTCTTTGCACATCTTCCCTCTAGCTTATTCCCAACCCATTCCCCACTAATAAACCCAGACTATATCCCCTCTGCCTAACCTGGATCCTAGTGTAGTTCTTCCCCCTTGTCTCCCACCTTCCTGGTAACCCAAAGCCAATTGTTCTGGCTCATGTTAACTGCGCAGCATTTATTTCTCCTTATTCTCATTTATTTTGTGTTTCAGAATACGCATCGTCAACTTTATCCTGCAAAACACAGAGATTGCTTCTCAGGGTAAGGATACACTATTTGCTTCCAGCTCACCACTAGCTTTCCCATATGCCCTGCCACTCATATTTACACAGTATCACAAATGCTGTTCACACCAGCATTCATGGATATCCACACACACATGCATATACAAACACAAGCTCACTTGTATACACACACAAAGTCATGTGTGCACCACAGTGATGTACCCTGCACAACCACCTAAAGAGATGGACTAATGGTTCCAGCCAGACTCTGGTGAGGGTGCCATCACTATCACTCTATAAGCTAACCTCCTCCATGCTACTTGTCTCCACCAACCAAACAGCACCTCATAATTAGGGACAGACTGATTACTAAATATTCCTTTTCAACACCTGATCAGATTGTCTTAGGGCTCCAGTTCTGTTCTGCAGGAAACTGCCTTTCTTTAAATGGGGGGTGGGTCTTTGGCCAAGGGGTCGTCCTGACTACTGGGGAGGAATCATGTTATCCTGTCCTTGCTAACTTTCTTTCCCCTGTCTTGCTTTAGAGAAGCTACAAGACTTGATCAAAAAGAAAGTATTTGAGACTGCATTTCCACTGCATGAGGTGAAGAATGTGAGGGTGCATCAATGAAGAAAGGGATGGGAGAGGAAACGTACATATGTAGATACAGGATAGGAAGCAAGTCTTTGGGCTGAAATGGTAAGGGAGGTGTAGGAACAGTAGAAGAAGGAACCTTTGGTCGGATGGAGAGATGTCTAGAAGAAAACATACCAGCACCTAGTAGCCTCTAGCAGCAGCATGGAAGACCCAGGATTTGCTAGGGGAAAGGGGGAGGGGGAAGAGGCTGGCAGGTTGCATTTTATTTTCTGTATCTGATTGAGTTCTTTTATCAGGAAGAAGAAGAGAGAGAATTCCTGAAGCATAAATGGGCCCGATGGAGAAGTATGTGTTGCAGACAGCCAATTGAAGAAATCAGGTAACTTCACAGAGACACAGAGAATGGGACAGCAAAAGCCACTGTGCAAAATGCCCATCCAGCAAACAGGACCCAGAATATCTTCACTGTGCCTGACTCAAGTCACAAAACTCTCTTTGTGGGCTGGACAAACCTCATCTGCTTAATTTTCAATCTGTTTAAATGCTGTAGGTTTAGGAACTGAGGATTGTTATGCTAGAACAGAGAAGCAGATAGTCTAATTTAATACTCTTTCTCTGAGGGTAATGAGCTGCAA